GTCGCACGGTCAGGCGTTTGTCCGAACGAATCCGTGAACACCACTCCGCATGACTAAACACAGGGACGATTAAGTCACTCACTGGTGCAGTGGTTTCACACCTAGTTGAAACAAATCACACTGTTAATGTGACCGAGGCACTCCGCCCCATGTATCGGGTTCTTGGTCGATAATCAAGGCAGGTTCGCTGTTGTATGCTAGCCACAGCGGAAGCGGTAGGAATTCGGCTGCACGAGCCCCCTCTGTGTGCCCAAAAACAATTTGTGCAGGCGCTTAAGCTCCCCTGGTCCACCCCCTACGTACCCCATATTCCGAGTGGTCCCAATGATCGGATGACCTAACAATTATGTGATCATTGAGAATTCCATATCCGGTCCCAAGATGAACTTAGCCCCATGAGGCTAATTTCCCTTTCCCGAAACAGTTGATTGTTTTATTTTCGTGTTTGGACATTACTAGATATATAAACATCGTGATATTTATTGTGATGTATTTGGCATGATTACGAATCACTGAAAACGAGCTTGTTCGCCACTCCTTGTTATACTTGAAATGTGCTCTGTGGGACTGTTTAGACCATAGCCGAAATACTGGAGAACGCACTAAGCGGTTTTCAAAGTCTAGGTATTGAATAGGCAGCTGGTTAAAAGCTGTGCGATTTGAACTACGCTGACGACATCGTTTGCCTGTTCGAATGTATGGAGGATGCACAAAGAACACTTAACAGGTTAGCAAGTTCTGTCGCTCCATTCGACATATGCTTTGCACTTTCAAAGTGCAAAAGGATTGGGTGTTGCCGATTTCTGCTCTGAAACTAGATGGTCGGGAATTAGCTAAGGTTGACTGCTTCTCGTACTTGGGTAACTGCATGACCAACGACAGTAGCGCATAAAAGGAGATAATCGCCCGCATTTCCAAGGCTCGAGCAGCTTATGCAGGACTTAAACTCCTGTGGTGGTGGTGTTTCATTGAAGTTGAAAAGTTGCGTATACTGCGCCACTGTACGATCAGTTCGGTTGTGAGAACTTGAATTTGTGGGTAGAAGACATCCGTCGCCTATTGGTTTTCGATAATCGATGTTTACGTAGTCTGGCCCAAGTGGGATGGAGTGAGTGAGTTAGCAACTTAGAAGTAAGTAAGTAAGTAAGTTTGAGAATGCTTCGAACAAGAACTCGCTATCGCATGGAATTCAGCTAAATAGGCTCCGTTGGTTAGAATGCGTTTTGCGTTTTGTCCGACGGTCGCCTACCGCAGCGCTCCGTACTCGCAGTGGCTGTTGCAGGTTGGAGAACGCCACGTGGAAGCCAGCAGAGGATGCGTAGACGATACATAAAGAAATACACAGAACGCTTAGGTGATGTAGGTGTCTCTTTTCTTCCGAGTTTGGGTCCAAAAGACTGTGAAACTGCATGGTTTGAGACGCTGAAGGTCATGGCTGCGATTCGACAGTAATGACGATCTTGCTGTCACTTCTTATCAGATCAGAACGCTTGGAATAGTATGTATGCACAGTTGAACTGTGTACTCTGTGTGTTGATCATAAAGCTTCCCTTTCTTTTCCCGTCCCTAAAATTAAGTCCAATCCCTATTCTCCTGACACACTCTCACTTATCTCGTATGCAATATAAGTTTGGCAGCGATCAGTGAATTTCGCTTCACTGTATTACATTGTACAATGATGATGATGATGATGATTGTGACGATGATGATGA